GCCCGCAGCGCAGAGGCGCCCTTGGCGTCCAGCGCGGTTGCCACGGAAACGGCGAGCGGCCGCGCAGGCGCGTAGAGCGCAGGGGGGGCGGGGAGCGGCACTGCGCAGGCGCGGCGCCTCCGTTGCTAGGAGCCGCCTGGCGTCCGGAGAAGCGGCGACGGCGAAGTTCCAGAGCCTCGGCCGCGACGGACCCATCAAATCCCGGTCTCCGCGCCCGACCGTCCCCACCGTCACCGTCCCTGGCCCCACGTGCGAGGCTGCCCCAGACCCCTGCTCCCCCCTCCGGAAGGATCACCCCCTGCTCGCCCCTGGAGGGGACCCGGCCCTGCGGCTGAAGAGCTTCCCGGCGGGCGAGGGGAAGAGGGAAAGTAGCCGGCATGTCGAGCGCGTAAGTGAGACTGCTGGGCCACAGCCACAGGGTGGGCTTCTCCCAACCCAAAAGCTCCTTTGCTCTTTTCTTCTCCCACCCCCGCCCCTCCTCCTTCTTACATTCTAGCAAATAAAGATACTCCTCAGGCTGGAGTATCAGCTTCTTGTGGACAAGCAACCTCATACACTTAGGCCCCCCGCCCACCCTGCACCGCCTCCTCCCGCCTCCAGCCAGGCCACCTCCTCCCGGCCCTCCGCTGCACCCCCTGGGCCCTGCTGGTGGTGTACTTTGGAGGAAGCAGAAGCTTCAGAGCTTCCGTGCATTGCCCGCTGCTTTGCTAGTATTTCGAAGTAGCATGTGGTTGCTTTGTGAAAACGCCCGGGTCGCAATATTGAGTCAGGAAAGATCTTGCAGAAGGTTTATTGCTCCCCTTTGGCTTTTTCCTAAGGACCCCAGTCAGGTGGCCGTGAAGGGCACGCCGGGGCCTCGCACTGCACCGGCCCTTGCTCAGCGACTATTTCCTCGGCCTTCGTAGTCATCACTTCAAACATGTCTCATAGCGCTGACTCTGGGCCTGTTTAAGGGTTTGAAATAGAATAAGTTTCCATCTTCACACACCCTGTCATGTCGGAGCTGCTACTGTTACGTCCATTTTACAGATGGGGAAACAGGCACAGAGAGGCGAAGCAGTTCATGTGCAGGAAGTAGGCAGTGCCGGCCCAGGCGCTGTAGCTCCAGCCTGTGCCATTCCAAACCCTGTTTTCCAGGCGAAGAAGTAAGAGCAGAGAGGTGGAGGGCTTGCCGGGGTGTGCAGGTGGGGGCGGTCAGTTCAGTCTCCGACATGTTGAGTTTGAAGTGCCAATTGGGCATCCAGCGGAGATCACGTAGGCAGTTAAATACTCAGGTCCTGAGTTTGGGAGAGGGGTCTGTGTATGAATATGAGCTGGCACTGTGGGTATATGGGTGGTCTTTATGAGGCATGGAGCGAGTGTAGACAAGAGAGAAGGGGTTCAAGGACCTTGGGGACAAAAGGAGAAACTAACAAAGGGGTCAAAGGCGTGATCCGTGAGAAAGAGGAAATCGTGGTGCCTGGAAGCCAGGTGGAAAAAAAAATGTTACTCGGCGGAAGGAGTAACAGACCCTGTAAAATGCTGCTGGGACAGGTCACAGGAGGGCTGGGAATTGAGCACTGATCTGTCAGTGTGGGGGCCAGCGGTGACCTTGACCTTCAGGGGAGCAAGGGAACAGGAAGATCATCTAGAGTGAGTGCAGGAGAGAGAGGGGAGAAACTGGAGACAGCGAGCACAGCTAACGTTTTAAAGGAATTTCGCTGTAGCTGGTGAATGGGAAACGGGACCCGGAGACAGACTTTTTTAAAGATTTTTTTTAAAGATAGGAAACAATAGCCTGTTTGTTTGTTGGAGGGAATGGCTGGGTGGTCAAGGAAACGGGGTGCTATGGGAGAAGGGGGGAGGACCGGGTGACGTCCTGTTGGAGAGGGCACAGGACCCAGTCCAGGCCTTGGCTGCAGAGGCAGGAAGGTTTGTCTCGGGATCTGGTGAAAGGGCAGGTGGAGGTCCGTGAACATGCGCGCAGCCCAGTGGGTGGGTGCCCGGGG